ATTGAACTGTAATATATTTTAATTTAACAAGGTTCCTCTAAGATGGAAATCAAGCTAAGGCTGTTAAGCTATTGAGTGTAGGCAATTAATGAGTTTATCATTTTAACTCACTAATTAAAACTGATGCTGTGATGTGTTTGTTCTTTAATTGGCAGGAGGTGTTAATGGTCCACACGCAGCTGACATCACAGAGCACATTCGGTCAAGCAATGTAACTGGTCCTGGCACACGCGGGCACTTCAGATCACCTATGGGCAAGCATTTGAGTCCTGACTATACTGTCGACAAGAATGTAAGTTGTCCAAATTTATTTATTCCCCATGAAGAAAATTAAATATACTATTTGACTGATCTAGACCTAGATATTTCAAATAGGTATTTGTTGATGAATTTGATTGTTGCAGATTGTGAGTGATGCACACATGCCATCCACTTCTTATTCACTTGCTGGTGCCTCAAAAAGAAACACCCCAAAACCCGTGATACCCACTGAAGCATCAAATCCTGGTCACGGACACAGCAGCAAGGTTGGTCCTTCAAGTAGTTGGATTTCATCATTGCAGCGTATTTCTTCTGCAAAGTGATCAAATGGTAACTTATCTGGTTCATACACTGATGTGTTTTACGGCTCCAAAAAGAAAAAAAAAAAAATTGGAAAAGGCATCATTTTGCTTTAAGTTGGACTCTTTCTTATTGCAGCAAGTGCTTGTATCCTCTTATTCACCAGTGTTGTTGACTAAATATTCACCAGTATGCTTTTAGCTATGGATTTGGTCTAGAAGATGTAGAGTTACAGTTATGGAGCTGGAAATGTGTGGTGATTTGATGTTATGTTTTCCATTATGTATCTGGTTGAAAAGTTGCTATCGATGCACTCATGACAGCTGCAAATGTGCTGCTAATTTGAAGAATTGCATTTATGAATGCGAGCTCACATTGTTTTCTCTTAAGGTGACTACAAACACATTGGTTGTTATATGAGACACATATTCCGAAAGCTTGGTTACTGTGGTGTACATAGATGTCATGAATGATTTATAGCAACCTTGTAATTTATGGTTCTATGTAACACGAGTTATATGTGAAAGATTTATTTTTCTCCTTGATAATTTGTTTAGCTTTCTTCATATGGCTTTCAACAAAAATTTTGTTTTACTTGACTCATGATTATGATTTTCTGGTGTACTCTTGTTATTTTAGTGACTGTTGGACAGTGTCATAGTTATTGGGGGGCTTTATTAAACCTTCATAACTAAATCTGACTAAAACACAACTTCGTAGTAATTAGTAATATCTATTATGATAATTTGTATTGTCGACCCTTATTATTTCATTTACTTGGGTTCAGCTAAGTTATCTCTTGCAAGGTGGCAGCTGGCAGGTCAATCAAGATGTATTGCAGAAATTCTGTCTACTGGAAGAAAATTTTATGGCTCAAAGAGAACCATCTGTAGAATTTAAATATTTTTTGTGATTTTAGTCTTTAGTTGGCACTGGGCACATATTCTGTTCATTCTAGCATGACTGTTGTACTGATTTACATTTACGATAAGAGATTGCGGAAATCTTTTGAGTTTGAATTAGATTTAACAGATGATTTTTCTTTCTAGTTTATTTGAAAATTTTTGCTTTATGTTTTGATGATAGGCAAGGTACATGTCTAATCTGATTGATGTAGCTATATGTGACTTTGTGGTGTTATGGTCTTGATTTTATCTATCCTTAAACTCACTTTATGTTTCTATTTCATTCACTTCTCAATTTGGTGATCAGAGAAATCATTTTAAAGTATTTATTTACAATTTTCAATTATATTTCCTGTTACATCTGGAAGTTTTCGTCTGTAGTTGCATGCTTATCAAATGTATCTTTTTTATTCAGAACAGACTTCTAAAAGAAATTTTATATGACAAAACAGTGCATTTTGCAGAAGAATCCTACTTGTGTCCTGGCACCTGCTTAAAGATTGATGAAGAATATTGATGTCTTTAGCTTCAGAGTATTATTCTTGCAATGATATTTTGTTTTCTGACATTGCTTTCTAGACTGTTTTTTTTTTAATCCAAGTAGCATCACAATTGACTCAAGTAATAAGTTGAGATCAAGATTATTATATGGTTCCATTCTTTTGGGACGATGAGTAGTTTCCATTTTTTATTTTATTTTAATAATTCTAAATAACACTTTCAATTATCAGTTAATACTTTGTAATTTGCAGGATTGTTTTATATCTTCATTGTTGTGCGAAGGGTGGGGATATGACAGGGAAATACTGTTTAGGGATGGCATTTGAAGACCATAGAACACGTCTATGGTTATTTGTTGTTGAGGAAGAGGCTACATAACTACTGATTTGAGGGAAGATTGCTTGAAGTAATAATGGTTTTATGGTTAATGTCTTTTGTAGGTTCGGATTTCTCAAATTCTTACAGCATCTATGAAGTAAATGCTTTAAGTTTCCCCTCGTAAGATAGATCTTTCTCATGCGAAGAGGAAATGCCTTTGTCTATCATACAGTATGAAACTTTCAAGGTGAGAATTGTGTGTTTGAGTGGAATAACTTGGAAATAAAGTGAAGGGCAGGAGGCCAGACTGACAAGGTCTGGCAAGTATAACTTAGAAGTGCAACTATATGAATTCAGATTGCAGGTGCCTACCAGATTTGTGAAAGAGAGGAGATCGATAGTGTTTGTAGGTCATGTTTCAGGGTTCTGCTGATTTTTGAAGACCCCTTGGGAGTATAAATTTATAAATCAAATAACATGCTTTGTCCAATTGAGAGATCTAATAGCTGCATCTATATTTTCCTAGCATGGCAGGGTTATTAATCTACTGATTTTTTTCCTGGAGCTCATTTTGGATTCCTGAAAACAGATCAGTTAGGGACCCTTACAGTGATTAACCCTTAAAAAAAAAAAACCCAACCATACAATACTACATTCAGGTGTATTGAGTTATCACATAAATGCTATAGCAGAGAGATGTTCAGCTTTTTCCTGGATTACTGAGTTGGATGCTTCTGTAATTGTCTTGATATAAGTGTGTGGAGGAAGTGTGCTGCCATCGTTAGGCTTAGCAAGATTTTTTGAAACTTTTATCATTGTTATATTTCTCTCACAAGGGACTGTTTTCGTGCTGATATTCTCAGGAACTATTTTGTTATATCTGAAATTTGGACAGGAAATAGTTCATTTCATAAGTTTTACCAAGCTTAACTGGGAGACCTGATTTTGAGTTTCTGTGAAATGGTTGATTCATGTTGAAAGGTAAGTGGTCGCATGAAGCCGGCTTAAATGCAATTATTAATAATTTAATATGCCATTTTTGTTCTTTATTTGAAGGTGCCATCTACTTTCTCTTGAGAATTTTTGTATTGGACAGGAAACAAGAGAGGGAATCAAGGCGGTGTGAACTCCAAGGGGTTAGTCTAACGGTTAAGAAAGTTTGTTCATTTCATTGATTTTTTCCCTTCGAACCTTAGGATCAATTACCACATTTGTGACTTATCTTGGAATATTGGGTTTATAGGGTATTCAATAGACTTTAAGGATTAGTCGAAGTACACGTAAATTGGTCAAAATACCTCAATCATAAAAAATAAAAAAAAATAAAAAAAAGAAAAAGAAAAAATGTAGGCATGCCTTTAGTGGCCACCTATTTTACACAATGTGGTGCGGTATCAATGTTTTAAAACATGGTTTGGCCTGATCAGATACATTGCATTATGCAATGTTTTAAAACCCGGCCTGATCCAGCCTGATCGGTTTAATTGGTTGGGGCTTTTGAAGAGAAAGTGCTGATGAGTGCAATGGTGGCAATTGTTATGGATTTTCGCAAATGTATGAAATCGTACAAGTAATAAAGTGTATAAATACGGATATCGAACCCAAGAGAATTACTATTATCAATTACTAAATTAAACTATCATATTACTATTTGATTAATCCAAATTGTGTCAAGGAAAATCTAAATTAAATTAACAATTGAAATTAAAAGAAAACTGAAAAAAAAAAAAAAAAAAAACTAAAATAAATCTTTGGGTTTAAAGCAAAATGACTAGACTTAGAGCATAAATTTCAAACTAACTTTTATTCATATGTATTGATTATTTGTGTTAATTTTATTAAGCACTTTTTAAAGGTCAAACCTCCTAAATTTACAATAAATTTATCTCAAATAATTATCAAATTAACCTCTAATTACTAACCTGAATTATCTCTAATCAGATTCAAACAATTGGAGAGCATTACGCTTTATGGAGTTTACCAAAACCTCAAAAGTCGCGGTAAACTATCTCTAGCATTCACTCAACCTATGGTTTTACTACCGTAGATCAACTAAGTATCATCTCTCGATTTCAATTTAGTCTATGAATTCATTCAATTCTTGCGCCCTTAAGAATCGAAAGCATTAGGCATAATAATAAAACTTAGGAAGAAATCTTAATAAAAATCAACATAAATAAATCAACATATAATCAATAAATTGGGCTACATCTTAGCCTTAGAAAATAAATTTAGTTCATAATAAATATGAAAGAAACAATCATCTTTATTAAAATAATCAACATGAGTTTATAAGAAAGAAACAAGAACTTCCCTATATTGTGAATCAAAGCTCCATAAATTCTAACATTTTTCTTCTCTACAAGTTTTTCTTCTCTTATTCTCCCCAAAGAATCCCCTAAATAATGCTAAAAGACTTTTATTTGTATCCCACAAGGGTTAGGGTTTTATTTTTCTTAATTCTATTTAGTTTATGACTCTTAAACCTCATTTTCCTAATAAAAAACAGAAGAAATATTTTCTGCTGTCGTGACTGTGCCCTGGCACTATGTTGCGGCGCAATTGATTCTAGATAGTGTTGCGGCATGGTGACAATTTCCTCTTCTTTAGTTCAAATCTCGCATCATTCCTCAGCACTCCAAAGATGACAATTTTTTAGCACGATAACGATGGAATCTGAAGAAGTGGTAAACATATGAAATATAGCCATTTGAATCAGTTTTCCAACAGTCAAATAATCGTCTTAATATGAGGTCTAAAGCTCTAGTTATTGTCCAAACACCGAGGCGTGCTCAAACTGAAGCGTAATCTATAATCTCTTCTTTACTTCAAAGCTTCATAACTTCTTCAATTCAACTCCGATTCTCAATCTGTTAATTTCTACTCGTCACACATTCCATTACCAATATGATTCTTCATCAGAGCATAACATTTAGCGCTAATAACCTAAAAAACACTCAAACATATCCGTGATCCCATAAAAAACAATTATAAAAATATTAAGCAATTTTACTAAATTAAGTCTAATTTCTCCCAAATAATCCTCATAAACCACTAAGTAAATGTGTATTTTCAAGCTCTTATCAACGACAGTTGATGTTTCGATGAGTAAATTGGTCAAAAATCGAAAAAAATTGGCGACAGTAACAACTAGCTTTTGCCGACGATTAACAAGGCTAACAAGAGTGAGGTGAGATGGGTTTTGGTCGAGAGGAAAAATGGAGTATTTTCGAGCTGATGGGGAGCGTTGTCAACACTGGCGTCAATGAGATTTGACCGAAATCAAATCGATATCAATCGGATCTTGGATAGATTTTAAGGGGAATGAGCTCAAAGGACAATTGGAGTTCCATTTGGGGTGTCATCGCCGACCAATTTGTATTTGAGCTATATTTGCTAAATTTCAAGGACTTAATTATTTTAAGGAGTGTATTTGCTAAATTTAAAAAAAAAAAATTGTCAACCGATTCGAGCACCGATTAAACTAGTCAACCTAAGGCCAAACAACTTTGCCGGGTTTTACCTCGAGTTAGGTTTTAAAACATTGGCATCATGTACGAAATTTCAGATTTTCTTTTTCTTCCAACTTCTGTTTGGTTTGCTAAAATTTTAACCAGGCTAACGAAATAAGGGACCTCTACTAGTAATGGATTTTTCTTCCAATTTTATTTACACTTCAATCCTCCAGTTTACATGCTTAAGAGTAAATGAAAAACAAGGAAAACCCAGCACAGTATTTTGGGCAAAACACACTATTAACTACCACTAATGAATTTGATTAAAGACTGAAAAAATTGCTTACAGTTTTACATCGACACTATCTCACAGCTGATACACAAGTTCCCTTCAAATCAGCGGTATTACTCGAACACTTAATATTCAGCTTCAGAATGATGCCAATCCCAAGTATTACAGCAAAAATGCAAAGCTGAAATTCATGCTCTGATTGAGACACAAAGCACAGATGATCCAACATATTTCAGATCTCCTCGGTTGTAAAACTGAATATGGTATTGTGTTAGGCAGCAACAACATTTAAAGAACTAATCAAAGTCTTAAGAAATTTACACATACTATACCTTATGAAAAGAAACGAATTAGTTGCATCTATTAGACAAGTTAGGCAGAAGCAGCAACTCTACTAGCTGAGTCATTTTTTAAATGCAAATATCGGCCTGTTAAATCCAGTTTTGCTGTCTGATAAGCCATCAGAAGTGATGACTTCCACCCTTCTAAATCCAATCTGCAAAAACTCAATCATGTAAGCATCTTAACATAAAACTCTGATAATATGGCCGGCATAAAATCTCCCTAAACCCTAAGTGTTTCATTCAGCAAACGACGTCAAACCTCAATACTGCCAAGTGTTAAAAGAACAAAAACATAATACATACCTTATCCAGAAGAATTTCCTGAAACTGCTCTGGATGGAAGACAATATTTTGATAATTGGTTGCAGTGGTCTGCACAAGTAAAAAGTGTCACTTCGTAAGATATATTTCACAACAAAACATAAAATTAATGAAATGCCCTGAAAAGTGATATTGTTATCCTAATTCAATATTTGAAAGCTTTTATCTTGTAAAAATTTCAGTGCTCATAAGCAGAGCCGAAAGGAGAACTAAATAATGGAAAGTTTCCAATGATCACACCCTGATAGACCTAACTTAACTAATTGTTTCCCCATCCACCCTGATCAGAAGCCATGACCCTCATTATACGGTTGCTATTTACATTTCTGGTTTTCAGCAACCATTTTGNCAACCTTTTCCCTTCCAATGCGGGATCCTAACATAGAGTAAAATATATTACACTTTTAAGTACTGATCATGATCAAGAAAAACATGTTAAGATCTTCTATTTGTTATTATCATATGGTTGTATCTCCATTAGATCGGAGAAGCCTTTATTTTGTACATGATAATGATCAATATATTTATGCATCTTAAAAACTGATTTAGACCATGCTTCCAGATTCTTAATAAGGGTTCCTCCCACAAGGACCCCTCACCCTAATCTAGTAGTTTGCACAACTTTCAAATGAAATTTACTTCTGTTCATTTACAGTTTTGGGTTTGGTATGCAATGGTTAATTCCCGCCTGTGTGTTAAATTGGTTTTTATTTTATATCCATTCTATGTATCATCTGATTCTTCATAATTGGCAATCTCATATTTGATTCTTAAGTTTTTGGAATCCTATTTTGCAAAATCCATCATACCTTGGGTTCATTCTTGGATTTTAGGAGTCAATGATGCGTCAAATTCTGGTGAGGTTATGGAGCGGAGGGGATCATATAAGCTCACTCGTCCAGTTATGGATGTGCATCTTGGATCATCGATATCTCAGAATGTAGGTTCCAGTAACCCGATTGAGAAGCATGTAAGTCATCTATGCTGTAAAACATATGTTTATGCATGATGAACTTGATACAGCTTATCTTTGAATTTGATATAGCCATGTTCTCTATCTTTAAGTTGCATTTAGGAGTTTCACTGTGATGGAGTTTCTCTTTATATCCAGTCATTATAAATCCCAGCATAAAATATGCTTGTTGCAGAATGTGAGCAATGCACCAATGCCATCTACTTCATTCGCTGTGCCCAGTGCTTTCAAAAGAAATTTACCTGAGGGACCAGATGAGGCTGCAAATGTTGGTCGTGGAAATGGAAACAGAACTGGTGCTTCAAGCAGCTGGATGCCATCATTATACCGAAATTCTTCTGCTAAGTAATTGGTACTGGAACTTTACATTCTCTGGCTTTATTTTCTGGTATATTATGTACTTCATGATATTGATCATCTACTGAGCATTGGTGTTGGTCTTTTCAGCCATGATTTGAAGGGATCTGGAAACACAATTTTGCAAGCTTCATGAAGTTTGGTAGCTTGAATTCTTTGTGGCAAGATCTGCCAGATCGTATAATGTAATTTTTATAAGGTGACTACAAGCACAGACACATTGGATGGTGCCAAGACCTGGCCCATCAAAGCTTGGTTTTTTCATGCGTGCATAGATGGGAAAATTGATTGAAGCCAGATTCGTGTCTAATTATTCAATGGATTATATGTAAAGTTTCTTCCATTCTTCTGTTAATAGATGAGAAAGTCTGTTTTGAGTTATATGGTTGTTTTGGTAATGTATCTCATATAATTCAGGATTCTCATGCTCTATCCTTGTTGCCTTTTGTTTTCTGGAACAAATTGCTGGATGTTTACCTGGATCAGTTTGAATCTAGGTACCCACATCCTTCAGAATCTGAAAAATAAAAGGATTAATCCAGCGTTTCAGGTACCGGATTATCATGCTAAGTTTTATGGATTTTATTTCTGTTACTGTTATTGTTTTACTGCATATTGAACTTCTATGGCATTTCTGTGCTTTGTGTCTTGTTTGCCAGATCAATATGATTCAGATTTGGTGTGAGAGGAGGGTTTAATATATGAAAGGGAGGAAGTCCACCTTGCTTGTTGAATGGATTTCTGGTATCTTAATATTTTAGTGACTATGAGGTATTTGATGCACTTCACTTCTGCTCTTTTAAATAACACAAGTATTTCTTTTTTCACTGTCTGCTATCATTCGTTAGCTGCAAGATTGCAGGAACATGTCCAACAAAAATCACTGTCATTTTCTATTTATTTTTCTCTTTGGAAATTTATGCTCACATTATTGTGTATTTTTTCAGGGAAAATTAGATCTGGGATTTCAGGGAAACTATAACAGTTTGGATGGAAGAGCATTTTTATAATCTGGTTGCTACACAATGTTCATGCTTGTGTTGATCTGCCTTTGCATGAAGCATGCTTTAGGACTTTCATATTTACGAGTTTTCCCACTCATAGGTGTTGATGCAACTTGCAAGACACCTTTAGACCTTAAATAGAAGCTTATAGCTCTTCGTCCATGCTTAAGCTGTTAGAAGACGAAGATAATCCCAGTTACCAAGTTCTGACAACTTCCGAAGGATTAAAAAAAAAAAAAAAAAAAAATGTCCACCAAATGTAATGAAGTTAAAAAAAAAAAAAAAAAAATTAACCCAAATTGTCCCAAGGGTTTGGAAGAAAAGAGTCACTCTTATTTTTAGATGTTAATTGAATTTAATAATGTAATGGGTCTGATTTTGTCATGTATATGGACTATATGATAATGGATATGCTAATAAAAAGGAAAAAAATTATTATTACGAATTGCACTTTTGATTGGCTTCAAAGTTTCAACCCCTAAATCACTTTGTTAGCGAGATTAGGTATTTTGATTATTGATGCCTTGGCAGTAATTGTTAAATGGTGCGTTATTAAGTATTATGTATTAAGCATGATGATGGATGGCGGCTGAGTGGAACTGGGACCTGTTTCCATCGTATGATCATCTATTGTAATGACTTGTATAATAATAATACCCATGCCATGCCCTCGGAAAATTTTAGTAATTATAAAATTAATCTACCATGGGTTGTAAACTTTGTGTTGAAAATTATGAGATAATCAACCTTGGAATTCTAAAATTTCAATGATTTAAATTTAATAACTTGATCATCAAAGTTTCCTATACATTTCAGTGGAACGTGGGACCTATACAAGGTTAGTGCTTCGTTGACATGATTAGATACTTGAAGCAAAGATGAAAGGAATTGACGCTTTAAAATCTCTCTATTTTAGTTCCACCTAAATAAAAATATTTTTTATATATGCTTGGGGTTTTTGTAGATAACGGATTTTACTAATCAGTGTACTAGCTTTTGTTAAAATTACACATAGTACTCGTACTATGCGTATGATACTCGTACTATGATGATACTTGTACTATGATTTAAGTTAGTACACTGGTTAGTAAAATCCGTTAGTACGCAAAGTATTATTCTTTGTAGATGGGTCCTCTTGGATCTTAAACTTTATTTTGAAAAGAGAAGAAATCCCAAACAGAAAAGGTTTTCAATTTGAGTTAGACCAAACCCATTGTCCAATATCAACATATAGCTTTTTCTTTTATGAAGCCGTACTACTTGCACTTGGCGCCATTTGGAACTATAAAAGAATAAAAAGAGTATGTGGGCTTTCCCAATTGATTACTTTCCACATCTTTAACTCTCTTTAGTCGTGAAAAGACAAAAGCAAAAATGCGTAAGAGAATTGCAAAATACTCCCCATAACTCCTCTAGTTGTAGCAGAAGCGTGCCAAGGAACAGAATCTTACTATGATTTTCGTCAACTTCTTTCTGGGAAATGAAAATGAAAAACACTTTAAACAGTTTTCCTTTCTTAAACTCGTATAATCACACCTTACTTTGTGTTCTTTAGGAATTTAACAGCGTGCAAAGTTGGATGCTAACATTGATTCTCTACCAAATCTCCTGAACAGTGTGTGATTTAGCCATTATCCAAAGGGTATGTCTGGCGTTTGCAGGAGGGCCCCAATTTCATACTTTAGACAGTGTTAATGGTGACAACAGGGGACAAAGTCATGATGAATCCCGCCGCTCAAAAAAATGGCCTTCAGCTCTTTATTTCTAAAAGCACAAAAGCCACANGGGTCCTCTTGGATCTTAAACTTTATTTTGAAAAGAGAAGAAATGCCAAACAGAAAAGGTTTTCAATTTGAGTTATACCAAACCCATTGTCCAATATCAACAGAGAGCTTTTTCTTTTATGAAGCCGTACTACTTGCACTTGGCGCCATTTGGAACTATAAAAGAATAAAAAGAGTATGTGGGCTTTCCCAATTGATTACTTTCCACATCTTTAACTCTCTTTAGTCGTGAAAAGACAAAAGCAAAAATGCGTAAGAGAATTGCAAAATACTCCCCATAACTCCTCTAGTTGTAGCAGAAGCGTGCCAAGGAACAGAATCTTACTATGATTTTCGTCAACTTCTTTCTGGGAAATGAAAATGAAAAACACTTTAAACAGTTTTCCTTTCTTAAACTCGTATAATCACACCTTACTTTGTGTTCTTTAGGAATTTAACAGCGTGCAAAGTTGGATGCTAACATTGATTCTCTACCAAATCTCCTGAACAGTGTGTGATTTAGCCATTATCTAAAGGGTATGTCTGGCGTTTGCAGGAGGGCCCCAATTTCATACTTTAGACAGTGTTAATGGTGACAACAGGGGACAAAGTCATGATGAATCCCGCCGCTCAAAAAAATGGCCTTCAGCTCTTTATTTCTAAAAGCACAAAAGCCACATTCTGGTAGTTGATCAGAAAAAAGATGAACACACCCTTTAATGAGGGCCATTTTTTCTGCAGTATTGAATAACATTTCCACTTTTTCCTTTTGATAAATTTCTTTCACAATAAACAAATATTTATGCAGCAACTTCGGATTTTAAATATCTGACTCACTGTTACTTCCTCTTCATCATCATCTAATTCTTGCATTGCCTCCTTTCTTAGCATGAGAAGTTGCATCCAAACCATAAAGGAATACTTAGCTTGAAAGTAAGTTTTTTTGTGTGATTATAACCCCATTTTCTGAAGAAACTTTTCAGCACCCATTCACTTACTTTGATTGTTGTGGTGTTAGTGAGTTCATGCAGCATGAAAAGCTCATCGCAAAAGCTGGAAAATATAGATGAAAATGGCCCTGCAAGTTGGCTACCCTTGTCATCCGCTGCACCAGAAACTCCTACGGCGTCCATGGAGTTTCTGGCTAGATCATGGAGCCTATCGGCCATGGAGCTCTCCAAAGCTTTATCAGGCACTCACATTCCTAATTTGAACCATATTGATAATTCAACTTTATCTTCTGTTAGCAATAGCATTCAAACACAAGATGCAAGCTCCGCAGCTTTCAGGGAATCTGTAAGAACCCTTGCTTAATAAGCTTTGAAAATTTCTTTTCACCTTCAAACTCAAAACATTTTCCTGTGTTTTGTTTGTCATAATATTTTTACGTGTTGTCAATCATAATCTATATGCTATGGCTTCTTTACCAACAGCCGGTAACTCATGAAATTAGCAGTCCTCCGATTTCTCCGAGAGACAGCGAAGAAATGAAGGTATATTTTCTCCACTCCTTTGTAATATGCAACAACCTAATCAGAAATTAGTTGAAATCTTAACTCTCCATTAAATTTTTTAGACACAGTTTTTGTTCATAGGCGTTAAATTAAATTATTCAGTCTACCGAATTGAAAAGATGTAAAACAAGGACTATAATATATAAGCAACTGCCTGTTTTCTAACTAGAAAGAATTGTATAATCTTTACAGGAATTATTTTTACTTCATCAAGCACTCCATCCAGAATTTCTTTCCAATCAACAAATGCTCAAAAATGGGGTATCTCATCATTCCACATCACCTAATCCTCAGTTTAGCCATCACATTGTGATCTTTTTTTGTTATATATGTCCTACAGCTATACAAGAGCATGGTGAGAGGGCGAACAGTGGGGAGATGGTTGAAAGATCAAAAGGAAAGGAAAAAGCAAGAGATTCGAGCTCATAATGCCCAACTTCACGCAGCTGTATCTGTGGTGGGGGTTGCTGCTGCCATTGCAGCAATTACTGCCTCAGATACAACCTTACAGGAAATGGCGACGGATCAGCAGAAGAAATCTTCCAAAACATCAGCCGTGGTTGCATCTGCAGCGGCATTAGTGGCATCTCACTGCATAGAGATTGCAGAGGACATGGGGGCAGATCATGAACAAATCTTAACAGTCGTCAACTCTGCAATTAACGCAAGGACTAATGGAGATATCATGACCCTAACAGCTGGAGCAGCTACAGGTTTAGGCATACCACTTCAGTTGCTTCTAAATCATTGCTATATTTGACCCATATAAAGTTAACCAAATTGAATAGCCTACACACTCAGGCTGCACTGTGCAGTTCCAGATGATGGACACCATTGAACTTCAACTTAAAATATTCTTAAAAAGTTGTGACTGTCTAACTAAGAAACACTTGATGGTGCAGCCTTACGAGGAGCTTCCATCTTAAGGGCAAGGCTGCAGAAGGGGTATGGGATGACACCCTTTGCTCTAGCTGATGAAAAGGGGCAAGAAGGCAAAGAATCTAACATCCCAATAGCACTAAACTTTGTATCTACTGGGGGGGAAATCCTCAAACGTACAAGAAAAGGTGTATTTTCACAATGATATGGTGCCAGAAACTATAATGCTGCAGCAATTTTAGCAAACCATATAATTAACTATTTGTAAAATGTGGATGCAGGAGCTTTACACTGGAAGCAACTTTCTTTCAACATTAATTCAAATCTGCAGGTAAAGTGCCAAAAACACACCAACAAATCCAACAAACTATGTATGAAGAACTTTAATGAATGAATATTAGCAAAGTATAGTCCAACAACAATTAAGAGCTTGCTCTCCGGGATCTCATTACAAAGAATATATATATATATTTTTTATTTTTTTTATTTTTTTTAGCATATTTTTACTCTTCCTCTTAGAAAAATAATTTCAATTTTTGAATAACAGGTGGTAGCTAAAATGAAAAGCAAGCACATAGCAGGAACATTCACAAAAAAGAAGAAATGTATGTTAAGTCTCGTAACCAAAATTAATCAATTACCTCATTGACTCCGCTCGTCAACCAAGTTAAGCCATGCTATGGTTGCAGGTGTAGTCTCTGAAGTCTACTGTGACATTCCGACATGGCCTGGAAGGGAGAGGGAAGACAGCAGCGAGCAGAGAGCATATTTTGGGATAAAAACAGCTGACAGGATAATAGAATTTGAATGCAGAAATAAAGGTGACAAACAGATGTGGATTGATGGGATCCATTATATGTTGAATTGCTGTGCCAACGTAAGATAATTCTAAGACTAAAGTTAACATTTGGGTTTGGATTGATGGAACATTAGATTTTGAATTCTGCAAAGCAGTAACTTGAATTGTGTTTCATTCCTTTTTAGGCACATGTTGCTCAAAGGGTAAGAATATACTTACAATAATTGATACAAAACAAAATTTACAAAGTGGGATTAGGAATATTCCATCATTAGGTCATTCTGGAAATATAAAGTTCATTGGAAGGCAATTTCTAATCGACAAAATTGTTATGAATCTCCATAGATTCAGTCAAGTGATGTGGCGACTACAATGATGTCATGGTCACTCTAGCTCCTTCAGAAAATCAATGTTGTCAACAAAGACCTACAGGACAGAAAGAAAAAGAATGAGACCATATCTCCAGGATCACTTTTGCAAGTAAAGAAAACAAAAGCTATAACCCTAAAAAGCATGTATTGCTTCATAAATGGTAATCCTCTTTAATCATAACACTAAGAATTGAACAAAGAATCTGTTAGGATGCCACATTGAGAGGGAAAATGGGTAAGCATGTGGTTTATAAGTAGTTGGGCATCCTCCCTTGACAAGCCAATTTTCCAAGGAAAGTTCTATCCAAGCCCACAAAAAGCCCAGTGTCCAACCCAATTCCTATCAAAGGCCCACTGCTCAGCCCAATTTCTACCAATTTGGGAAGTGGGTTCCTATTAGAATCATTTAATTGATATTGAGACCACTATTAGAAAAATCTGTCAAGATTAGTTCACTAAAATGTGGAGTTACTGAAACCGACTCCATTAGTGAGACGACAAAAAAAAAAAAAAAAAAGTTCTGCCTGCCGCGTTCTCCAAACCAGCTCATTTATAAGAGCTCTTGTGAGAAGCCTTATTTTAGAAGGTCTGTATCTTATCATTCCATTTCTTTTAATTAAGATCCTTTTTCTTGAAATTTCAATTATGCCTTCAAAGGCTTCAATTTTAGAGAAAACCTATTACACCTAAGCCACAGAACTATGTCACTATGGAATAAATGAACTTCTTTCATTTGAAAGATAGGCCGCCAGCTATAAAGAAGCCATACCGATTTCCAACCATCAGGATCCAAGCAAGCAGTAATCTTGGTGTTGATACCTGGCAAGGGCCCAGGTTCACGAGTAATCTTTCCACCACACAGTTTGATTGCTTCAGCAGTCTTGTAAACATCATCTGTACCGATCGCAATCTGTTAAAATTTAAACAATTAGTCTCCATATAATGAAATTGAATCTGCCTGATAAGGGATGAGAAGCGATTCTGATAAAAACAAGCACAGTTAACAAGAATCATATACATGCTGCTGAAATTCCCTAAAAAAACATATATAGCAGGAAAATTGAAGAATTTACCTGAGCATAACCATTTCCTTTGTCGTAATCTGTGACCCCATAATTATATGTCAGTTCCAGCACTGCATTTTTATCTTCAGGACCATATCCCATCATGGCAATAGTGTACTGAAGAAAAACAACTTAAAACCAATCAGAGCACCAACTAGCAGATGATAACCTAAAGATTGGGCGGATGTTGCAGGCAAGAGCAAACATTTCAGAAAACAATAGAACTATTAGAATATCAACTACATAATTTTGCAGCAATATTAAATTCCTATCTTCGAATGATTGGGAACCCTTCTTGGCACCATCACTAGACAGAACTGTGGGATACATTCCCCACACAGTGCATATTTACAGGAGAAAAAGGAACAAGTATGAATGATGGAGTGAACAAATACATCCAAATTTAAGAATCAGAAACATAGGACTAACCAATCCATCAGATGAATCCAACATTGATAACATCTTTAGAAAAATAAGTGGGATAAATGTAGATGGTAAGGGATCCAGATTTCGTATATTGTGCTTATTACTTTTGTTGCAGGGTAAAAATTCATGAAGGGAACCGTGTACTTAGACGAAAGTAGACACATTTATCCTTAGAATAAACAAAAAACCAGAAAACTTGAAAGATTCTGGAGTTTGTTAGTGGGCAGTTGTAAAATTACCTTGTTCTCAGGATTATCTCTTTTGCGGAGAAGTTCCATGCCAAAAGCCTTCAGTATGCAGGAATGACAAGCAGCAGAACACCAAGCAAATAACAGTGAAATAAGAAAATAGGAGTCCTAATATTTAATAAAGACAGCAGCTACTAAAAGGGAAAGAATACTGCTCACCTTCTTGTAGAAATTGATAGAGCGATCAAGATCACCCACTCTAAGCATTACCTGACATAGGGGCTCAGGTGTTGGGCCCCTCTCCAAAAGCTCAAATTTATAACCATCTGAATCTTCAATGAAAGCAATTATTGTTTTGCCACCTTTAACAGGACCAGGTTCCCTCGTAACTTTGCCTCCCTTTGCCTTCACAAGATCCACTGTTTTTGCAACCTACAAAAAAATGTTTGAATACAAAAAAAGCACTATGATTCATCAATTACCTTAGTCTAACTTGGAAAAGAATGCAATCATTTCAGGAGAGGGGAACTCACATCCTCTACTGCAATGCCAAAATGGCCAAATCCAGTTCCAATGTCATATTTATCAATTCCATAATCTGCAAGCATCACCAAATTATATCCAAAAGAAAAACAAATGAAAGATAAAACACATAAAACTTAGAAAAATATGAAACCTACCATAAAAGATTGGAATATTTGCTAAATATCATTGGCAAACAAGATACATATTAGCATTAAAACACAATGATATGGAATTATAACTCACTGTAAGTAAGTTCAACAACAAAATGGGAATCTTCAGGCCCATATCCAAGAAAAGCATTTGTGTATCTCTCCTCTGGTAAGTCACGCTTTCTTAAAAGCTTCATCCCCAAGCATTCAGTGTAAAATCTGCAATATTCACAAGCTATTTAGTGATTTATTATACCAAATAATACCTGTGTCACTGAAGACAAAATAAATGAAAGGTGGATTATTGAAACTAGCAGCATACTTTATAGTCTTGTCCAAGTCTCCAACACGATAAACAACATGAAGCATTTTTCTCTTGTCATTTTTAACCCACTCTAATGCATTTTGCTCAGTGACAGTGGTGCTTGTCGGTGCCATATTTCCAGATGTGCTGGCCTCTGTTGTACTCCCATCTGCTCTTAAGAATCTAGATGCTTTAGCATCGAACAACTGTGATTGCGGGATAGCTGGATAAATGCAAAATGTTCATTAGAAGAGAAGAAACTAAAACCATTTGATGCATTATTAACATACATCTCAAGCCGGATTTAGTGGTAGCCCTTAAGCTTGATCAAATCATCTAAAAAATGATCAAATCAATTAACAAGTACAGGAATCTATGAGCAGAAAAAAAAAAAAAAAAAGTTATAACCAACAACAGAAAATGGGAAAAAAAAAAAAAAGGATAAGTGCTAACAAAATCACCACATTAAGAAAAGTCAATTAGGTTGCCAAGGATATGTAAATTAAAAAAGAAAAAAAAATCAAAAACTCTTTGCTCTTTGGCATAAAAAGATTGGGGCTGATGCACCAAAAATAGGAGCTTAATTGAGCCAACTGAATAATCTAAGATTCACACATCCATATTCTTTATTCTTCTCAACAGAGTTCTGACCAACCAAACAAGTAGACAACAGAAACATAATGCCTTTGTAACCAAGACTACACATTACCATATATCATAGAAAGTATCAACCATGCACTCAAATTCAATAGATTTATATCAACTATAAATTCTCAGACAATGCTGCACACAATTTGCCTAGATACTTGACGTATGCTTGAAAACAAAAACAAAGAAAAAAATACTTTCGCTATAACTACGTGGCGCCAACGAGTAAAAGAAAATAACATCACAGACCATAAAAATTAAAAAATAATAATAAACATCTGCTATTAAACGATTTACCAATTAAAAATACAGAAATCAAGAGATTTGAGATTGTGTGAGGTGCTTACCGGTGCCAAGTTGAAAGAGAGCGAGTCTTCGAGAAGGATTATAAGAGTAAGAGATACTTTTGTCATTATTACTAGTGTTGTTGATAATGAAAACAGAAGAGAATTTGAAGAAAGAGTTTTGAGGAAGAAATGGTTTACTGTTGGTTGGAACCATTAGAGAAGAAGAAGAAGCTAATGGTAATATTATCGGCATTGTATCTGTATTGTAATTTGAATCAGGTTGATAGATTCTGTTTTATCTATTTTTCTAGGCCTCCCCTTTGCTTATCGTGTTGACTCCCGCATTTGGATATATCTTTTCTTGATTTTACCACATTGTGGATCACACTGGTCCATCACATCAGCCCATTTAGATGCCGTGTTTGTGTACAACTTTTAGCCACTAAAAATGCAATTCGGAAAACTTATTACTAATTTAAGGATATATTGATTTAATTTTGACAGATTTGGAACTAAAGAAGTCCATGATTGTATAATGAGACAGATTTGATTTGACGAGTGAAGATATTTAACCAATGCAATGATGGTTTATGGACGGTCTAAAATTTTCTTTCTTTAATGGGTCAGATTAGGATTAGTCAGACCCAACCCATTGCCCATTATATTTTTCATCAATAAATTTTTAAAATATAATTTTATTATCTAAATTTATGTTACGATAATAAACAAATAACAAACTCAATCTAAACTATTAAGATTTTTTAAGATAAAAGATCAATAAATCTTTCGATAATAGAAGATTGGATTTTGATGGTTGTGATTGATCAGAATTTAACTTGATTACGCAAACTTTAATTGCACGATTGTCTGCAATTGGTGGGGTCGACAACAAGAATAAGGTTTGAGAAGTTTTGATAAGTGATTATCAAGAAAGAGAATGGTGGTGATGTAGGGTGGCAACAATGCTAAAATAAAAAATAAAATATAAATTTGGGTAATAAGTGGTATTTTAAAAGTTTGTGGACAGAAAAATGTCATTAAGTCATTATTTGAGTGGGAAAAAGTCATTTACTCTTTGAGTAATGCTATGCCAACAACTCATACTCACAACATTCTCTTACAATCCTAACGTGTTAAAAGATTGACACTGTCACATCAGCTCCCATCACACTTAAGGCACTACGAGAAATAAATAGTTGTTCCTTCAAAAAGAACGATCGTCTCTTATGAATAAACAACTATTCCTCCCTATGAAGGAACGTCCTTTCCTTCATAAGGAACAAATGTCTCATATGAAGGACCAACATTATTTCTTGTTGTTGTTGAAACAACGTAATTTCTTCATAAAGAACAATCATTTATTCTGTGAGAAACGGTCATTCTTTTATAATGAATGACTGTTTTTTTGGTCTAATTAAAATTATTTTATGTCTTAGATGTGGTAGAGCTATTGTGACAGTGTTATGTTAATTATCACATCAAAATTATAAGAGAGGTTTGTAAAAATAGATTGTTGGCGCAGCTATACTCTTTACTCTTTACATGGTGACAAAAACACTGGATGGTTGTGCCAGGGTTATGTTGTTATATTAAAGTTTAATTAGTGTTTACTTAACGGTCAATTAATTAGAGCAAGGTCAATTTACCTTGTGGTTCCTAATTTTTTTTGGCATATGTGCACTTCAGCCCCCTTCTTATAAATACCGAGCATTAACGGGTCCGGTCCTGTGTTTAATTTCTACTCTATTAGTCTATTTGCTTTATAAATTTGTTTAAATGAATATATATATATATATATATATATATATATATATATATATAATATAATATATAGAGAGAGAAGAGAGAGAGAGAGAGAGATTATACATTTATTTGATCAATAATACTACGGACACCGAAAAATTGCACCGAAATTTTGTACCGGCTCATGTGTAACACGCGTCTGAATTTTTTTCCGATTTTTCTAGTAACGGCCGTCCATCACATTTGGACACCGTTCACTCACATGGACGCCCGTCCATATTATATGGACGGGCGTCCATACACAAGGGACGGGCGTCCCCATTAAAGGACGTCCGTCCCTAATTAAATATAATTAAAAAATTTGTAAAATATTAGGGACGGCCGTCCATCCATTATGGATGGCCGTCCATTAATTTTGGACGGGCGTCCACAATAATGGCGTCCAATTAATGGACGCCCGTCCTTCACCCAAATATAAAAAAAAAAATATTTGGATGTGGACAGTCGTCCCTTACTTTGCTTTTACAAATCCATAGCATGTTTCACTTGCCCCGCCCCCCCTCTACTATCTTCTCAACGCCCTCTCCACCTTCGCCGAACCAACTCACTCGTCGTTTCTGGGCTCTGCTTTCTTCTTTCTTATCTCCTGAAACGCGCTGCTGTTTTAGTGGCTGCAGAGCCCAGAATGCGCAGCTCCACGCTGCTGTTTCATGGCTGCTGCCATAGCAGCCGTTACAGCAGCCACTGCTCGTCTTCATCTTCAAGAAAGAACGAGCGCAGCCATTTCCAGGTGGGGTGTCCCTCCAGTTCCAAGGAGGAACTCCGGTGCAGCAACGCGGCAGCTGTGGTAATAGCAAAAGGTGTCCCTCATGATCTAGCCGTCTTTCAAGATTGAGTGTCAGTCTGCCACTAGCTGCACACCAAAAAACTTTAACAGGAGGGAAAGCATATCTCATTTAATTTAAGATAAAACAAATCAATTGAAAAAGCACACGAATATATGATGATATACAAATAAACTCTAGCAATCCAAGAACCTTGTGAACAACAGGCGAGACAAGGGAGACTAGCTGCATCTACTTTGAAGATCTTCGAGGAGATGATTTATTTTTTTCAACCTACTAGACTCTTGCCTGCTCTTAGAGTGAATAGAAAGATCAAGTTCCAGAAAAGTCTTATATATTGATGACGAAGAAGAGGAGCGAAGAAGAAGAGGCTTAATGTTTTTTTCTTTTTTAAAAGTATGGACAGGCGTCCATTAGGAATGGACGCCCGTCCAAACGTAAGGGACGGCCGTCCAAAATTTATGGACGGCCGTCCCAATTTTTTTTTTTTTTTTTATATTTGAGTGAAGGACGGGCGTCCATTATTTGTGGACGCCCGTCCAAAATTAATGGACGGCCGTCCATAATGGATGGACGGCCGTCCCTAATGTTTTACAAATTTTTTAATTGTATTTTAATTAGGGACGGGCGTCCTTTAAATGGGGACGCCCGTCCCTTGTGTATGGACGCCCGTCCATATAATATGGACGGGCGTCCATGTGAGTGAACGGCCGTCCAAATGTGATGGACGGCCGTTCACTAGAAAAAAATTGTAAAAAAAATTAGACATGCGTTACACGTAGGCTGGTACAAAATTTCGGTGTAATTTTTTCGGTGTCCATAGTGTTATTGTTATTTGATTGCAACTTGTTTCAGCATACGGTATTCAGTGTCATGTTTGATGTACCGAAAGCCACGCCTCAAAATACTAGTTAAAAGAAGAAGAAAACTTAAACAATAACACTAGGGACACCGAAAAACTTATACCGAAATTTTGTATCAGCCTACATGTAACGCGTGTCTGAATTTTTTTACAAATTTTTTCTAGTGAACGGCCGTCCATCAAATTTGGACGGCTGTTCACTTACATGGACGCCCGTCCATATTATATGGACAGACGTCCATATACAAGGGATGGGCGTCCTCATTTAAAGGACGCCCGTCCATAAATAAAATACAATAAAAAAATTTGCAAAACATTATGGACGGCTGTTCATAGGTTGTGGACCGCCGTCCCTTAATTTTGGACGGGCGTCCGCAAATACGGGACGCCCGTCCATTAAGTTTGGACGGGCATCCATAAGGAATGGACGCCCGTCCAAACTTAATTTATTTTAAAAAATAAAATAAAAAATTTGGACGCCCGTCCATAAATTATGGACGGGCGTCCCTTAAGTTTGGACGGGCGTCCATAACTAATGGACGCCCGTCCATACTTTAAAAAAAAAAAACGTTCTAAATACCTTTCTTCTTTGCTCTTCTTCTTCGTCTTCATTCACTGTGTTTTTTTCATGTTTATCGCACCTTCTTCACTTGCCTCCATGGAAACTTTATTGCATAGTCGTTATTTTCAGGTAGTTTTTGATAAGAAACTATCCAAAATTACACAAATGGTCTTCCAATTTAATATCTAATGGGACTCACATAGAAGGCATCCTGCATGGGCCAGCCACCACGTAGTCTAGATATGTCCTTTTTGACTATATCCCTTCCAGCAGTAGCCAATACTTCATTGAAAACAAATTTTGAATTGGTGTTCTCTGCTAGAGAGGAAATCTGCTTATAGTTAAGGATTTAAACAAAAATACAATACACAACGAAGGCAACTCCACAGTTGAATCAAGCTACAAGCAGAAATAAAAACACACACTTAAGCAACAATTATTCTAACTACAATATACATATAAAGATACAGCCCCAAGAGTTTCCAACCGTAAATGTTTCTCGGTCACATGAGCTGCAGCGGAGAGCAAAGATTGAGTAGTCCTGGTGACACAGATGTAATCAGCTTTACTAATAAATTTTTAACTCCCTCTCTCCCATATGCGTTCAGCAATTTAAAAGATTCAGTTCAGAACTCAATCAAATATTTTTAAGAAAAACCTTGAAACATCAGTTTCACTCAGCTCAGCTCCCCTCTTTGTAACAAACTCAATGACAGCTTGAATAGCCCCTTCCGCAGACTGCTTAATCCTATCGCATATAGTTGTGGTACAATTATGCAAGGTGCCTACAAGCTTTAAGAAATCACAGAAGTAACTTGAAGCTGCCAGTGTCTTAAAAGAAATTGTAAAATATATCTACGAAATAAACCATACCTCGTCCTTTGTCAATAGAGTACAGGCAGAGGAAACAATTCTGTTGAAAACCTCTGATGGATCAATAGAAGCATCCTGAATATACAGAAGGGGGAACAAAAAATTACAGGGTAAACCACAGATATAAACAGACATGAATTATGCAGTAATAAGAAACTTACACTTCTCAAGATGGCTATAACATCCTTAAGGGAGGACAAAGCGCTGTAGGACAATTCTATATCCACACCAGAATTTGAATCAACAGGCCTTGGAAGTGAAAGAGGGATGCTAAAGAGTTGATCAAGAATCTACCAAAATAAAAATTGAGGGACAATAAATTTCTGAGTAAAATATTTGGAGAGCTACTAAACTTTATGTAAAAGACTTGCAAGTATTCAACCATAGGAGAAACTACCAACTACCTATAAAATTCATACCTAAGCAGAAAGTTTTCTAACTTCAGAATTAGTGGAGAAGAAATGACAAGACACAGTGAAGGTGAAAGTCACCAGAAAAACCCACGTCAAGCCCGGCAAGATAATAGGAAGAAGAGAATGCCAATTGATCACCTTCGATCTTCCATATCTAGCTTTTTACTACAACCACAAGCTGCTTCTTTATAAGGGTAACGAAGAGTTCGACGCCATGGTTGAGAAACTCAAGGACGGGTTGAAGGTTGTTCTGGAAGAGTTTCATCAGCTGGCCGGGAAACTTAGGAAAGATGAAAAGGGAGTTTTTAGAGTGGAGTATGATGATGAAATGGAGGGCGTGGAACTGAATGAAGCATGGCTGAAGAGATCAGAGTGAAAATGTCAAGAAAATTCCAGTTTCTTGAGTTTTAAATTTGCTGTTTACACAAGGGATGACCATCCCTTAAGTGTGGACTGCCGTCCATACATAATGGACGGGCGTCCATTAGTTATGGACGCCCGTCCAAACTTAAGGGACGCCCGTCCATAATTTATGGACGGACGTCCAAATTTTTTATTTTATTTTTTAAAACAAATTAAGTTTGGACGGGCGTCCCGTATTTGAGGACGCCCGTCCAAAATTAAGGGACGGCCGTCCACAACCTATGAACGGCCGTCCATAATGTTTTGCAAATTTTTTTATTGTATTTTATTTATGGACGGGCGTCCTTTAAATGAGGACGCCCATCCCTTGTATATGGACGCCCGTCCATATAATATGGACGGGCATCCATGTGAGTGAACAACCGTCCAAATTTGATGGACCGCCGTTCACTAGAAAAAAATTGTAAAAAAATTTAGACACGCGTTACACGTAGGCTGGTACAGAATTTCGGTGCAAGTTTTTCGGTGTCCCTAGTGTTATTGAAACTCAAAATACTAAAAGCATCTTTATTAATTTTACATAAATAAAAATATTTTTATTAATTTCAAAATATAAACAATAAAATTTATATTCAAATCCAACAAACTCTTTAAATTAGACTTAATAAAAAAATAAGAGAGAAAATTAATAATAAAATACATAGAAATTTGTAATTTATTAAACAAAATTGGGATAAAGAGTAAAATTTGATTTTTTTGATGTAGAGAGTTAAACTTGTTAGTGTATACCCTAGGAACCAATCATGTCGTCGGTTCCAAGGCATTATGTTTTGTATATATATGTTAATATATATATTTTGTATATACATTTTATCTTATCAATAGAAGAAAATGTTCTTATTTCACATATGGTTTATTACTTCATTTATATATATGTATTACATGTGAAATGTCTGGATGATCAAAATCATTAAAGTATTCCCTACATAGGTAATATTAATTAGGTAATAATATTACATAGTAGGTATGTTGAATGCTTCCGTAGAATATCATGTGATGATATTAGTGTATTATAAAAATTATATCACTAGGGCATTAGCATGGATACGCGGTTAGTGAATTGTTTATCGAATATGATCATTTATGATGAATCACATGGACATTTAAAATGTAATCAATGATTTATCATAAAATCGTACTAGTGTATTATTAATCCTGAGACCTGAGATATCATGGTTGGATTCTACATAAACGCATATGGTTCATATGGTGAATAAACACGAGACTAATCATGTCGTGTTAATAAGTCGATTTGACTATGTGTTGTTTATGTGTGAGGACAAGTGATAGTCAAGATGAGATCCGTTGACTTAGTATAGATTGATATGAAGTTCCTAGACAAATGTCAAGATACATTGGAAAAGGGAAATCTCCGGGTGGGGTATATAAAATGTTACTTGAAAGGTTGTTTTCATGGTGATACGTTCTATATGTATCGATTGTCAATTAGATATAAAATTAAGATAAGAATTTTTAAATATCATGAATCCATTCTTAATTGGGATTAGACAACTGAAGGATTTTATTATACAGTGCGTATGATTATAAAAGGGTTCGTTGGAGTATATCTTCATTATGACTTAGGGGTTGTGGAGGATTGCTATATGCCTATCATAATCGGTGAGAGTTTTGAAACATATTGAAATAAATTATGATATTGTGCCCATGATTATGCCACAGTGAACCTAAGAGGTCACACATAAAAACTAAGGAGAATGGAGAAATAGCTAAAAAGAGTTGATTATCTAAGGTTGGCTAGCACATACTAAAGGTAATAAAGTTATTTATATTATTATTATTTAATTAGATTCAATGGAAGGTTATATTAGTTATTATGAATAATTTAAGACTTAAATTGCTTAATTCTAATTCATAATTAATCATTTTCTTTATATTAAATTGGATTTAATAATGGGTTGTAATTGTAAACATATGAACAATTTAAGAGTTAAATTGTTATGTAAAAAATTTAAGAGTTAAATTGTTAATTGTGATTAAATATTAATCCAATGTTATTATTTAAAGAAGTTTAACAACTTCATAATAATTATGGAATTATTTACAACTCCAAAAACAATTATGGAATTGTTTAAGGAAGTTCAAAGCAATTATTGAATCGTTTACAAAGCTACATATATAAAGAAAATGATATATCAATTTTAGGATAGAGATCAAAATTTCTAAGAACCCTAAATGTCTCTCTTGGCCTAATTCTTCTTTTACCTTAGTGTAAATACTCTTTTGTTTAATTTCTCTTAAAATTAAAAGTCTCCAAGGTTGCTAAGGACTTGAGGTAACAAGTTATACCTTACTTGTTTTCAATTGGATTGAATTTTTTTTGCAAAATATTAATATATATGTTATAGTATTATATGCATTATTCTCCATATATTCCATTTTTCAAAACTCACTCTTTAATTTATATTTAAAGAATAAAAAATCTATTAAAGTTTTATTTTTATGGATAAATTCTTTATAATAAAATGTTTAAGTCATATAAAGTGTTTTTTGAAACGCTCTAATTAAGTGGGTTAATAATAAGAGTAATACTAGTTTTATAAAGATACATATAAATGGGATATATAAAGACAATTTCTACTCTTGATTTTTATGATTTTTTATTTTATAATTATCTTTATATGAGTCTTTGTAAGGATAGTATTTTTCTAATAATAATAAGGTTTAAAGTAGGTAGATGACGATAGGGATCCAAAAGGAATGTTTTCATTTGAGCTAAATCAGCCAATCGCGTTGTTGGAACGTGGCCTTGCTTAATCTTATATTGGTTTGTCCTTTAAAATAATTGCTACAGACTCCACCAGACTACCACTCAATGTGGTCGACTCATCATTAACTACAAAACAAAACAAAACAAAAGTGCTTCCATGCTTTCTTTGCAACATGCATGATTAATGTTATTTGACTACACTCAGCACCTTCCTAATTAAAATCGGTGTTAGTTTGGGTAAAGGGCAGTGAATTTTCAAATCATAAATGGAGAAAACTATTAAAATGTCAAAAAGAAATAAGATAGAAGATGAAAAAGACCACCCACCTAGGTCCCAGTACCAGTAAAAGGCAATCATACAACTCAGCTTCTTTGGACTGGTGCTGAGATGTAAAAACATGGTGAATGATTTCACTCAAACCTCACTTTTCATTTAATAAAGCTATGCAATATTAAAATAAATGGGAAAAATGAGATAATATTATTTTTGGTTCAACTGTACTTGTAAATTAAATTCCAAATGAAGTCAACTGCAAACAGGGTATCCAGGTAATTTGGATCTCACGCTAAACATGGTAACATGTAAAACAATGTCAATACTACTTCACAAATGCTTATATATATATATATATATCAATATATCATCGCAATGCTCCTTTGCTGCATTCATAACGTATAGCTACCTAGCTAGCTAGCTTATCCCCTGTATAGAGAATCTCTCGTTCTCCGGTGATTATTAGTAATGGCGAAACTCGCTTTAGGAAGTCACCGTGAAGCCACCCAGTCCGACTGCATCAAAGCCCTAGTTGTTGAGTTCATTACAACCTTCCTCTTTGTGTTTGCCGGAGTTGGATCTTCCATGGCTGCTGGTATATTTATATATAGACTTGCAAATCTTCATTTTTACTTTGATCTTCTTCAAACTCTTATATTTTTTCTATACTTGCTTGCATTCCTGGATCATTGGCTTTGTTGTTGTTGTGTGTGCATATATTTTGACTATTACTTAGAAGATTTTTAAGGTTCTTCATGTGAGCTGTGAGTGTTGAGTTTTTAACGTGGTGGGATGAACAGACAAGTACTCAGACGGGAGTGGCCTCGTGGGGTTGTTTGCTGTGGCTGTGACACATGCTCTTGTGGTGGCTGTCATGATCTCTGCTGGCCACATATCCGGCGGTCATCTTAACCCTGCTGTCACTCTTGGCCTCTTTGCCGGCGGTCACATCACTTTATTCCGATCCTTCCTTTATTGGATAGACCAATTACTAGCGTCTTCAGCAGCATGTTTTCTTCTCAATTATCTCACTGGAGGAATGGTAAGTCCAAATATTATCTAAAAAGAGGTTTGACATTAACTTTGTGAAAACTGAAAATTAAGATTAATCAGCTAGTTAATTGACTTACGGTTTGCGTGAGCTTCTTGAGTATATTACTTAAGATGTCTTAAATTTAAATCTTTATAATTAATAATCATAGGTAGTGAATAAAGACTTAACTTTAAGACTCCGAAAGAGTAGTTGAGGTACACGTAAACTGTCCTGGATATCCCGAATACCTGAAAAAAAAAAAAATTGACCATGAACCGGAATATTATAAATTATGTTCTTCTTTTCTATCTTCCAACCAATTATTATCTTCTTCTTTTCTATCAGATTATAAAAATATATAATCTAAAAAGAAACAATTTAAACCACATTATTGTACCAAAGAGTGACCTGGAACCACGTGGTTTTTAATATAATATTTTGTCGTTATATACATAATTTCAAATGGCATTTTCTTCTTTATGTTGGTGCAGACTACACCAATACATTCACTTGCAAGTGGTGTGGGTTACCTTCAAGGAGTGATATGGGAGATCATCCTTACATTCTCTTTGTTATTCACCGTATATGCAACAATTGTGGACCCCCAGAAGGGATCTATTGATGGGCTGGGCCCAACGCTGACCGGGTTTGTAGTGGGAGCCAACATCTTAGCTGGTGGAGCATTCTCAGGGGCCTCCATGAACCCAGCCCGCTCCTTTGGTCCTGCTTTGGTCAGCGGTGACTGGACCGACCATTGGGTTTACTGGGTTGGACCCCTCATTGGAGGTGGGCTTGCTGGGTTTATCTATGAGAATTTCTTCATCATCAGATCCTATGTTCCTATTCCCTACGAGGAGTCAACTTTTTAAATTATGACGTGTATTGATGCATGTTATTAGCAATCTCTCTCGCTAAATGTACCAAGTTTGTTTCTGTTTCTTAGCTGTGGTTTCCTTTCCCTGTACTATAAATAATTTGAGGATTAATTTTATGTGATAATGTGATCTGTGATTCATATATCCAACCAAGATAGCAAAACAAAAACAAAAAAACGTTTTTATTTAGAGGGTGTCAAATCCAACATTGGCCAATCCCCGCCTGGAGCTTGTCAAACATCTATCCTGTCTTGATAGGATAATTACAATCGCTTAGTAGGATGGATCATCTCAATGCACGCATGAGGATAAATACAATTTATGACTAGTGTTATTGATAATGAAAACAGAAGAGAATTTGACGGAAGAGTTTTGAGGAAGAAATGGTTTACTGTTGGTTGGAACCGTTAGCGAAGAAGAAGCTATTGGTAATATTATCGGCATTGTATCTATATTGTAATTCGAATCAGGTTGTTTGTTCCTGTTTTATCTATTTTTCTTGGCCTCCCCTTTGCTTATCGTGTTGACTCCCGCATTTGGATACATCTTTTCTTGATCTTACCACATTGTGGATCTCACTGGTCCATCACATCAGCCCTTTTAGATGCCGTGTTTGTGTACAACTTTTAGCCACTAAAAATGCAATTCGGAAAACTTATTACTAATTTAAGGGCATATTGATTTAATTTTTGACAGGTTTCGAACTAAAGAGGCGGAGTCGTTGCGGTATGAATCCACATAACTAACTTGTGCCTTGTTATATTAATTTTTTAAAATAAATAAAAATTAGTTTGAAGCGGAGTCGTTGCGGTATCATTATCAGATTCGTTGTTGATGTAATCTGTGATGTTACATCATGTATTTTGCTTGGATTTAAGAGAGTATTATTGGTTTTAAAGATCGAGAAAGAAAAAAGAGTTATTAACGAATAAAATATAATCAAGTTTATTAATAATGGTATAATTCTCGGACCTGCCAAGTCCATGGTTGTATAATACTATAATGAGATAGATTTGATGCAATGATTTTTTTTTTTAATTATTATTATATTTCTTCCCCCTTTTTAACTCGAGTTTTGAGTTTCCGGCAATCGAGTAGAATTGACTTCCTTGCTTCATGAAAATGTCTGAATACATCTTAGGAGGCGTTTGGTTGGCGGTAATGTCAGATTATTGGGGTAATGTCATATGATATTACTTGATTATCATGTTTGGTTGTCAAATAATATAAGATTTTGGTAATCTTCAAATACCAATAGTACTATTGGTAATATTGGAGATAATCTGATTATCTCCATTTTCTTAGGTATTCTAAGATTATCAGTGTTATCCTTTTTTATTACAATTTTATCCCTTATTAATAAAAATTTTAGACAATAATACCCTCATTTTAAAATAAATTTACATTAATATCTTATTTCAATTTTACCCTTGTTTAACTAAAATTTTGGACAATAATGTCCTTGTATTTAAAACAATTTACAGACCACTGCCACTCAGTCACTACCACCACCACTGCCAGATCTAGCCTGATATGGCCGGAATCGGCCATCAATATGGCCGAAAACGGCCATATCGAAGCCTCTTGGTCACGATGAGTTGCTGATGGGGACTTTTGGAGACTTTCAGCGGTGGCGGCAGGAGGTGGGGATGATTTCATAATAAATTAAAGTTTTATATAAGCAGGGGTGTTTTAACTAAATCTGAAATATTGGGGGTTAAAAGAAATTATTCAAAAATTAATAATAAAAATAATATTATATTAATATTTGTAAAGGGGACAATTTAGTAATTTAAATAACATACCCAACAATTTATTCCCCATAACCAACCATATTAATATAACATACCCACCAACTAACCAAATACATTTTCTTAAAGATTCTCAATAATCTTTCAGGGTAATCTGTCTTTCCAGTAATCCAACATTCCCAGTAATCTAACATTCCTGAACCAAACGCCCCCTTATACTCTTATGTGCACTTCAGCCCCCTTGTTATAATTACCGCGCATGAACGGTTCCTGTGTTTTTGCTTTATAAAATTGTTAAGAGTATTAATTAAATGCAATAATATATAGTATATAGAAAATCAGAATATACATTTTAGAGTAAACGACATATTCCCAGCCAAGGTTTGACGAAATCTCAAGTTGGTACCCCATGTTACATTTATTCCAGATTCCTACCCTTAAAATAACAGTGTTAGCAATTTTCAGGGTTTAGAGGGTACAATTACCATAATGCCCTTAACCCTAAATTAATAAATTATGTTTTAACCCCTAAATTAGTAGAATTATAAAACTTACAATTTTATTTACAAATTATGTCAAAAACACCCTCGGTCACTACATACCCTCGTCGAAAACAACCCGATTTGGGCTGTTTCCGATGGCGTCGAACCCCCTGGTCACCTCCATCACCTTCCCCATAGTCCGTTGTCCAAAACCCCTCTGGTTCCCGAATTATTGGCCCCTCCAATCGCTGGTGCCGTTAAGCTTAGGGTTTCGATGTTCTTCATTGGATTCTGGTCAATTCTGGTGGTGAAAATCCAATTGGACACCACTACTGCAACTACCATCTCCAAATATATAAAACGCCTATGTCCCTAACAACCGTTTCGTAGCCGTTCGCCGACCAAGAGTTCGTGTTTATCAGCAGTTGTTTGGTGAAGTGGTGGATGACAAACGGTGAGCTGTTGCGACTGGGAAGGTTAGGGGTGTCACGCCCCCTCCCGAGTATCCCTATCCCACCGGATCCGGGCGCTCCAGGAGACTCAAGATCCCGAAAGGAAGGTGAATACTCTTTAAAAAAAACATTCATAAAAACAATTCCGTTTATAGGCGAAAGTGAAAAGTAGTGCATTTGCATGTTTAAGGTTTAGAAGGTGGAAATACACAATAATTATTCTAAAACAAGAACTGAAATCTAGTTACAAAAGAAACGTAGTATCAGAGTCCACTAAAGTTTGTAAAAGATGCAAATCATCATACGTCAAGGCCAACCTAGATCGTAGAGTATGCTCCACACGAACCCGATCTACGGTCCTGGGGGAGAAAACATAAAACAGTGAGCTGGGAAGCCCAGTGAGTGGATAATAGGATTTATACGAAAATAACTTTAACTTTGAAAACATGTATGAATAACTGTATGCCACACAACACTAGTGCACTTACATGATAAGGCAACACCAGTATATATATATTATTCTCGGATGCCATGAAATCACACACCACTATCATATAAAATAAATCAATTATCACCACTCTACTAGCACTTAGGGGCCAAGATCATAACTATCTGAACTAGTCCCTAACTAAGACATGAAGCTACACCACCCGCAGTCTACCCTCGGGGTGGCACCATCCGCAGTCTACCCTCGGGATGGTACGAACATCATTGGATAACCATGCTCAACCCACAGTCTACCCTCGGGGTGTCATGATATGGTATCAAATATAATCTCGCCCACAGTCTACCCTCGGGGCATCCAAAATCCCACGCCGGCCAATAACCGCCTGGTGTAATCCCGCCTGGAGCTCGTTAGACGTCAGTCTTGTTCTAGTAGGATATACCAATGGTTCGGTAGGACGGACCATCTCAATGCGCGCATGAGGATAATGTCAAATACTAGCTTATGTCTGGAGGGGGGATGGGTACGGTTTCCAATCCGGGAGTCAAACATAACAATAATCATGCATCCACAATTTCATTCCAAATATGCATCATGCATGCCTTATGCATATATAAAATATAATATGATATAAATTCCAATAAAAGGCATGTAATCATGAAGACAAATGATCACCACGTTAAAAATACAAAAGTATGTAAAATTCTATTTACACCCTAATTATCATCAATTTTGCTAAGGTCCCAAAACTTCTAAACATGACAATTAACCCCCTGCTGCAAGAGCCTAGTGCCATAAGAAAAAATCTCACATTTTTATTAACACTCTTTCCGCAATTTCCAAAATAAAAATGGACCATTTGTACTATTTAATATCTCATTAACTTCATATCCATTTACCTTTTTACCAACTTCAAGCACTCATTCCCACTCAACAATCACGTTAAGTCAAGTCTGCAGTTTATGAAAATGACCAATTACTACACTGATGGCTCCAACAATATCAAGCAACAATGCAACAACAATACAGCAAATATATATATATATATATTATAAATATATATATATATACACACACACACACACTTTAAATAAACTCCAGCTCAGATCATACCCATTGCCTCCAAAAATCCAGCAATCTCTAACCTTTTAGGCAAAGTAAACGTCACACTTCTATACAATATAGGCCAACAGTTCATGCCCATTATTTCCCAAATTTTCCAGCCATCCACTCATCACAAAGTTTAACAGAACATTAAATATAAAATTCAAAATTCATTTAGTATCCACCCATATTCATGTTCTATCAAAGTCAATTTTATAACTAACACAAACCTTCCAATTCATTCACACCATGTTTCAAAACAAATAAAAAATCCCAATTGTAAACAATAAATGAGCCCAATAGCCAATCAAATCAACCAACCATAGATGCATTTCCGTATAATCCAAAGGAAAGATTAAAAAAATTACATAAACACAATTTTATAACCATTCCTATTAATGAAATTCACGGCCCAATCTTAACACCTTCTTAATATAATCTTTCTCTTCCACTTCCACTCTAGCACATAATTAAACCATTTCATTAATTAAAAGAAACATTCAGCAAGGTCAGCACCCATATGAACAAAATAGAATCCAAACGGAGATGAAATTTTAGATGCATGAATTCTTTTATGCAATACTATTCCACTCACACTTTCTCCTTTGCTTTTAACTCAAGTGCTCAGTCCTCCTATCTTCTTCACCTATTTGATCCAAAATTATTATAGGAATTAAGATCTAAACAAAGAGAAGGTGAAAGATTGATTAAAAAGTATTGAAAATGCATGCGTAACCTTATTCCTTTACCCGAAAATTTCTCTGAAAATTCTTCTCCTACAAGCACCACTCGGTTCTCCTCTATTTAACTCAAATGTTATTTTTTTCTCTTTTTCAATGTGCGTAGGAGAATGAATGTAAATGTGAAAGACAAAGAATAAACAAGCTTCTCCTCACACTTTATTTCTTTTTGTTT